ACAATAGGGAACGAAAAATCGTCTCTTTTGTCGTAAATTTTCGTATGGAGTTTTCCTTTATTAGAGATTGAAATGTCCAAATCCAGAAAGGACAACTACTGCTGTTTATGTTAGATTTAGTTAAAGTAAGTTCTATTGGGTAAATTTCTGTAGTATATTTAGAGAACTCTGGATTATTTAACGAAAAAATATCATCCAGATAACGGAAGGTATTGTTGAATGTATCAACCAAATGTAACAATGACGTGTCTTTACTGAGTTTGGTCATAAACTGAGATTCATAGCAATACAGGAATAAATCTGCTATTAAAGGGGCGCAGTTAGTGCCCGTAGGAATACCTACTACTTGTCGATACACTCTATCGCCGAAACGTGCATATATGTTGTCCAGGAGAAAATTTAAAGCTTCAATCATATCTTCACATTTCTAGTAAGTGTATCTAGAATACTTTCCTTTTTCGTTACAGAAAAAGGCTTTAAACGAGTTACAGCAAATAAATGTGTAATGAGATTTTTCAAAAGACCATTTAATTAAATATGAAAACTTTTTCTTGATGTCTGTTTGTTTTGTTTACACATCGTTGTCAATCTATTGGAATTATAATAATGTTATACAAGTGAGAGGTTTAGCTAGCTATAAAATCAGGTTTAATCCTCAGTTTTCTATATATGACGGTTGTTATCCATTCGTTAGATGTGTTCGAGCTTTTGATTTTGCCATTTATTCACGGTTTTTTCGTTTTGGTTTTTCGGTATTTTAGTTATTTTACTTTTTAATTCGACTAATAGTTGATAGTACTGTATAGTAAAACAGAATGGCATATATATCACAGATGTATATCTTGCTTTTTATTTGGTCTTCTGTTATCACTTTTAAATTAACGTTTTGGTTTTAATAACGTGACGTTATACAGCTTTGAAGTAAGGCCAATGAAAAAACGATAGTCAAAAAACCATTAAAAGGTTGTTTTCTACATCACATTAAATGAAATATTGGACAGTAGACATTAAACAAGCAACAATCGATCATCAATCTAAAATATAAATAGTTTTTATTGTATATATCTCTTGATATTGCACTTATTCTAGCACGCTTTTTTTACATGATTGATCGAAATAAAAAATAAAAACATCACAATATTTTCCCTATTGACGTTTGGCATTCGTTTTTGTCCCTCGGTTTCTAAGCATAAATCTTCCTCATATCAACACCATTACATGAAGTAATTATGCGAGCAATTTTATAACCCTGAAATAATCTCTATCCTGAATACCATCTGTTAAGCACAACAAAAAGAAAGAGAGCTTACAAAAGCCCATACAATGTAATTTGTTTAAAGATCCGTTCGTTATGAATTTTGAAAATTTACACAATGTTGACATCAGCGTATTAACTTTTTTCAAAACATCCTCAATGAGACTTAAATCTAAAGAATGACATTTAATTGATTTTAAAAAAAAATAAATAAACGTACGCGATCACTCCTACGTACCCTTTTTTAGAAAAAAATAAATGTTTCCTGTGTTTACACATAGAATGTTGTCTCATTATGAAAACCGTCGAACAAAACGGTTTTGCATTACACATACACATACCCCAGGACTATAAGATACAATCTGGAGAATTTATATCTATAACTCCATGCATGACATAAGCTCTATTAATTTGAAGTTTCTCGAAAAATAACAATACACAGGAAAAATATAGAGGTACACACAATTCATGTCATTTGTCTAGCTCATTAACGGACATATTTCGAAATCAGAGTGGGTAAATGTAAGCAAATTTGTAAATAATAAAAATAAAAATTTAAATAAAAAACGAAGTGGATTGAATAACATATAATTTGATGTTTGACTATACAAATGAAACAGATCAAAGTTATTTCATATTAAAAAAGTCGTTGATCAACATTATTTACTTGGACATATTTTAAATTAAAAAAAAAAGGTTCGTTTGTTGATATGTTCATACGTGTTTCTCGTTTTTTATACAGATTAGACCGTTGGTTTTCCTGTTTGAATGGTTTTAAACTAGTCATTTTGGGGCCCTTTAAAGCTTGCTGTTCTATGTGAACCAAGACTGAATTGATTTATAATCTTCCCTGAACTTGGAATGAGTATTTTATTAATTGTGATATCATTTACCATAACGTTATTTATCTAGATCTTGTTGGTGTTTTTATAACGATACCACATATATGCAATGTATTACTTTCATAAAAAAAGGTCCTAAATCATCTTATAAGGTATGTTATCTGGGAGCATATATATAAATATAAAGTGTATTCTCATAAAACAATACAGATACAAAGGTTACAGAGAATTTAAAATCATGAATACAAAATATTGGATGTGAAAAAATATATTAGAAATAAAATTTTTAAACAGGCAAAAAGAGATGAACATGATGACTAAATAAAAATATTTGAAGTTAAATAAAGTAAATAAACATGTTTAAAGAAAAAGTTTTAGTGTTTAAATATGTTGAAATTAAGGTTGAGGAGAAGTAGAACTTTCACCGTGTATATATGTTTTATGAAATTGCAAAACGGTCTGAGTGTCTTTTGTTATTTAGAGTTAAACAGTGACTTGAATTCAAAACATTCTGTCTGGTTAATAGTTCGTTTGGTATCAATCTTTTCTTTTCATCTTGTAAAGCCAGTCAGACTAAAATATAGAGATATTCGTCTACGATATCTCCATTCTGGCATATAGAACTCTTTCTTTGACTTCTGTTAATATGATACCACCCCCTTCTCTATTTGAAGTGAACGATTTGAAGTTCGGAATTGGAAAGTGTATAGCTTAAAGCCTCTTCCGAACATATGAAAGTCCCTACTATGTCATGCATGTACTGGTTACCTAAATTGAAAAAAGAACAATTTAAATTCCGTTTCATCTCCGCATCTAGTTAGTGGTCTACTACTAATCTATCAGAGCTTCTTACTATGTCCCTTACTACTATCAAAGAACTTGTTATTAACTTTTGTAATAAAGCTTATGAAAATAATAGTGTTAATTAATTTTGGAGTGTTAAAAAAATTCTTTAGAGGTTTTAGATAAAATACATGCTTTTGATGGTCCTTTTAATTCTGTTGACAGTTATGAGTTTTCTACTTATAATGGTTTACTTTTATAAATTTTGACTTGGATGGAGAGTTGACTCACTGGCACTCATACCACATCTTCTTATATCTATATATATATATTTCTCAGTCATTGTTAATACTGAATTAAATTTCTAATTCCACCTTTTCCTTGGAAAGACTGTACGTGATGCATTTATGAGTGTTCTGGATAGGCGTGTTTTACATTTGTTTAAACTGGCCAATCAATCGAAGTTTGAGACTTATCGAAAACAATTTTGTGAGGTCAGTATTTTGCATACGAAGAAGGCATTACAATATAATTTGTCATACATCATATTATCTATATTATCCGTTAATAAAAAGAATAACGATGATCTCATACAATTAGGTAATTAAAATTCATGACGGTTTGTTTTATGGAAACCGATCTGAATGTTCCATATAACCCATCAAAATCCACACGTGCACAAGATATATTTTTATTCATATTTTACTATCGGTTTGATAATCTTAGATTTTGTAATATTTATTATGCTTTTAAGAAATATTTGAACTTCTAACGTATAAGAACAATGTAGTTATGAATTTTAGACCTCCCTTGTAAATAGGAAAGGGGCAACCAAATCTTGATACAATAGACACACCGATAAAATATTTTATCAAAGCCTGAACGTATTCCTATGACTGAATCTACGTCTTTCTTAAAAGTTGCATACCTCTACCTTAAATGGGTTTCTGATTGATTGATTTAACCAGCCGATATATTTCTTTTTTAGATAATGATGAAGATCGCCTTTATTGGATGGAATTCAACAGTGGTTTTTTGAAATCATCAACACTAAATGGAAGCAGTGTTATAACGGTTTTCAACACAAATACAACAAATAAAAACCAAGATATTCATGTTTACAGAGGAAACGTGTACTGTGCAAATGGTAATTCTATACTTAATGTGACAGTTACACCAGATGTATCAGCGGATGTCATTTACAATGATACAGGAATAATCTATAGTGTATTCATTTATGACGAAAACTATGACAAATGTACGTATACTTAACAAATTCGATATCCTAACTGTTTCTAAAAGAGTTTATGAAAAGTATTTCAAGTGATAGAAAGAAAACATTTAAACAAAGTTTCATTGTTTTCAATTATAAGTTGACTGCAAGTTGAATACATTTAAATAATTCAATACATTTAGTAATATCATACATTTTAAATAAACGACTACGGATTATCTCATTGAAGTAGATTACGTTACACATTTTCTTATTGTGATGATTTATCAATGTGTTTTAGCATTAATAATACAGTTATCAGTTATTATGTTCATTTTGTTTGATATCCATTACAAATATATTATCTAACGACAATTATGCTTTCACATTTTATATTTATTTTTTTTGTCATTTATGTGAATATGTGTACTAACAAGCTGATTTCATTCATGCATTTCATTTCACTAAATACGTACATTTATGAAGAATCTAACTATAAACATAATATTTAACACTCATACTAACCTTTTGTTTATTTAACTGCGCTAGTTACCAGTATTTATAGAAATGACATGTTTAACAATATCAAAAAGGTTACGTGATTACTTAACACAATTTTTGTATATTATTCTACATTTTGAACTTAGCCAGTGTGATCTTCTATGAACAGGTAGGTACTTGATCAAACAAAAAACACTCGAAAATTGACCACTGTCTACACATGAGCAAATGTTCAAAAAATTAATTAAAACCATTATAAATATGCTATAAGGCGACAGTCTTACAGAACAACTCGTTTCTAAAAACAGCTGCTGTACTCCTTGTAATAAGTGTGATACGTTAACATTGCAAAACATGAGCTGTTTCGGATAGAAACCGACCTTATGCAAATGAATATCAATACATCTGTAAACCTATTTCGGGTTGAAACAATCTCTATGCAAAGGTTGTGACTGTTTGAAAATTGATTTATTATAAAACTCATAAAAATACAGATCAAAAGTCATCATTAATTTTGTATTCGAATGTTCCAAAGTCAATCAAAGTCATATACATGTAAATGTTTACGTGCACTTGCAGAAGGTCGATTTCTATTCGACGCAGGTGACATATTATTGCTGTATTGTATTCCTTTGCATTAACCTTATTGCTTTGTAAGTATACGAATTATGCCTGCGTAACAAAATACTTATTCCTGATATTGTGTTTGTTTTATAACATTTATTTTTATAAAATAAATACCATTTATGCAAAATAGTTTTATGACAAATACAGTTTTAATGTTTCATTAATGAATATGTTGACACTTATTAAACTCATCATAGATACCAGGATTGACATTTTGTACGGCAGACGCGCGTTTCGTCTATAAAAGACTCAACAGTGGCGCTCGAATGAAAAAAGAGTTTAGAAAAATGTGTAGTAATATTTAACCAGTTATCTTATATTTGAACGGCTGTATGTTTACTGACTGTCAATGGTGAGTAGGATTTTTTTCTATCTTAAACAATTTGTTAAATCTGCACAAATGCCTATGACAAGTAAGAAAACCTTATCTATGCAGATACACTCAAAACGGACAATACGTCAAGGGACAAAGCGTTCCATACTGTGCATGCATTAGCTGTCATATGCAGGCGAATCTACATTCAATCAAAATACGACGCTATGTCTCGATATCATACGACTTTTGATGTAACTAAGACTAGTAACTTAGATTTAGTGAGTTGAAAAAGATGAAAGATAATATAGTGTTTTACATCAACTTTCCCCTATTGAACAATGGGGGGAAAAAGATTTAAGGAAACTATATTTGATCTGAACAGCACTTTACAGAACGAGGAAAAACACAATACGTCATTTAAAGTCTTACATTAAAATTTCAGACTTTTCCTCCGCTACAAACTTAGTACTATTCACACAATTTGCTGGCAGCTAGGCAATACTGATCTGTTTCGTCAATGATCAGACTGTTTTTATCTGTAAAAACACAACAACATATTCAATTATATCATCGAGATTGAACAAATGCAAAAGTTATGAACAGTAATGAATGAACAGACAAACACAAACTTCCAGAACAAAACTTGACGTTTGCCAGTTTTGTTGAGATCGAAACGGTCATTCAAGATTTAAATTCACTTAAAAATGAATATCCTTTAAGTGTAGTTCTTTAAACATATACCATAGAACATGACAATACACTGTTAAAAAAGAGCAGCGTTCCAATGAAAGTGTCTCCATTATTCGACATGGTAAATCACGGTGCAGTTATTTACATAATTGCTGTTGTTTTGTTTTATATGATTTAATTTGATTGTAATTATAGGATAGACACCATTGGCCAGTAAATCAGTAATGTCTTACTTAAAGTAAACTATAGTAATGATTATGATACAAACGTAGACATGCAGTATTAAAAAGGAATGCGTAGTACATCTTTGATCAACTGAAAATGGATATCAAAAATAGAAATAAAGGTGAGTTAAACGGTTCTACTCTTCACACGTAATAAACATATATTGGAATAAATTTGCTGGAGGTTAATATTGATAAGTCTTGTCATTATTAGTACCATGGCTCTAAACTCAATGACATTTTTGTTTTGTCTAAATATCATCAGCGTTGACAGAATATGCGCGAGAGAGACTTTACAAAAATAGATCCAGTATGTTACTTTTTGCCATCGAATTATAATGACTGTATAATAGTAAAACGAAGGATATTGGATATCCATCCCTGACACAAAAGCAGTACATACACAATACACAGCCAAAAAAAAAAAAAAAAAAAAAAAAAAACACACAATATACAATATGTTCAGAAATGTCCATATCATTTCAGGTTTTTGTTGGTCATACACCTTTTCTAGAATTCGTAAAGTCTAGTCTTTCTAAACTTTTGTTTTAAGCGTAACTAAAATAAAAGATGACTCAGGATGGTCCTAAAATCCCTTTCAGTCATATAGCTCCAGTAATATAAGAATCAATAGCTGCCATACTTTAGTTTTAGTGTATGGTGTTTCTAATCAAGTGTAATGCACAAAAGCGCGTCAGATGCATCACATGTACTAGGTTTCATTTCAATTGATATGTCAACACTTAATACAGTTAAATAATGAATTACTTCCCATGAACTTTCCATATTTCGTTATCAATGCTAAAACATGAGCTGCTTCGGATAGAAATCGACCTGATGCAAATGAATATCAATACATCTGTTAATCTATTTCGGGTTGAAACAATCTCTATGCAAATATGTTACTGTTTGAAAATTGAGTTGTTATAAATCTCCTAAAACAGATCAAAAGTTATTATTAATTTTGTTTTCGAATTTTTCAAAATCAATCAAAGTCATATACATGTAAATGTTTACGTGCACTTGCAGAAGGTCGATTTCTATCCGACGTAGGTTATTGCTGTATTGTATTCCTTTGCTTTAACCTTATTGCTTTGTAATTATACGAATAATGCATGCGTAACAAAATACTTATTCCTGATATTTTGTGTGTTGTATAACATTATTTTTTGTAAAAAATACCATTCATGCAAAGTAGTTTAATGACAAATACAGTTTTAATATTTCATTAAACAATATGTTGACACTTATTAAACTCATCATAGATACCAGGATTGATATTTTGTACGGTAGACGCGCGTTTCGTCTATAAAAGTCTCAACAGTGGCACTCGAACGAAAAAATAATAAAAAGGCCAAATAGTTAAATAATAATCTGATCGAGATTGAACAAATGCAAAAATGTTTAACAGTAATAAATGAACAAACAAACAAAAACTTCTAGAACAAGACCTGACGTTTGCCAATTATGTTGAGATCGAAACGGTCATTTAAGATTTAAATTCATTTAAAAATGAATATCCGTTTATTGTTGTTTTTTTAAAACATTTACCACAGATCATGACAATAGAATGTTAAAAAAGAGGAATTTTCCAATGCAAGTGTCTTCATTATTCGACATGGTAAATCACGGTGCAGTTATATACATAATTGCTGTTGCTTTGTTTTAGATGATTTAATTTGATTGTAATTTATAGGAAAGACACCATTGGACAGTAAATCAGTAATGTCTTACTTAAAGTAAGCTAAATGATTATGATACAAAACTAGGCATGCAATATTAACAAGGGATGCGTGGTTCATCTTTGATCAACTGAAAATGGATATAAAAAAATCGAAATGAAGGTGAGTTAAACGGTTGTACTCTTCACAAATAATAGATATATTTTAGAATAAATTTTGTTGGAGGCTAATTAAAAAAAAATATTGATAAGTCTTGTCATTATTGGTACCATGGCTCTGAGCTCAATGAAGTGTTTGTTTGTCTACATATTTTCATCTTTGACAGAATACGCACAAGGAGACTGTATGTTACTATTTGCCGTCGAATTATAATGACTGTATGTTTAACAATGTCCATATAATTTCAGGTTCTTTTTGGTCATACAGCTTCTCTAGAATTTGTATATTCTAGGCTTTCACCCGTCTGGTTTAATGGTATTTAAAAAAAAGGATGACTAAGGATGGTTTAAAAAATCCTTTTCAGTCATATAGCTCCAGGACTATAAGAACCAATAGCTACCATCGTTTAGTGTAGAGCATTCCTCATCAAGGTAAATGCATAACAGCGCGCCAGATGCATTGAATGTATTAGGTTGTATTTCAATTTATCTGTGAACACTTAATAAAGTTGAATAATGAATTACTTTTAATGAACTTTCCAATTATAATTTGAAGTCTTACACATCTACCTCTTTAACTACAAAAGAAAGAAATTTTCGTCAAATAAAGATACGGGGAAAACAGACGATGTAAACACACCACATCTTCTTTTTTATATACACCATGTGGATATGGTAATATAGTACACAAAGTTTTGGTGCTTTAATACATTATCGTGTTTCTTGAAAATGTAATATTCAAACAAATAGTCACATTGAAGTGGTCGAAGTATGAAACAGTGTCATTCATTGATAATCAAAAAAGGCGTTTTAACCTCCAAAAAGTGTATTAAGAATGTTTAATGTTTAAAGTTTGAATTACCCTTTGGTATCGTTTGCCTTTCTTTTAATTTCTAGTGAATGCTGTCGTCTTCAGTTAAGTTTTATTGATATAAATAGTTCTAGAAAAACCCATATAAACTCAACGTTAATATTGAAAAAAGGAACAATTTAAGACTGGTCATATTCTTTAAAAATGTAAACGTAAAAACATTCAACTATTTTAGATATTAGCACCTAAGACACTGTTATTCACAAATTGTTTTAAATTATTAATAACTTAAGATGCAGAAATAACACCATGTACAATATTGAGGTATAAATAGATAATGGTACCATATTTAAGTCTTCTGAGTGAACGGTGAAGTATAATAAATCAGTTATTTTTTTCAATATTCGTGTTTGTCGCCAAAACAGCAGGTAAACTAGAGACTAATGCAGTAATTTAAAAAAAAGTCGAGGTTTACGTTTTGGAGTTATTTGGATATATTGAGGGAACATTTTTACCAAATGATTTTGTTATTTCTATAATTCAGAACAAATTCCGCAATAAAGGATGGAACTGCTGTTTATTTCCGGTTAGTTTTGGAGAAGATGTCAAAGAAAATACGTCAAGATAAAAAATCTTCGTAAAAGAAGCAGCTAATTATATAATATCAAGTCAAAAGTGGAGATCACCTGAGAACTCAAGACTTAAATACGATAAATGTTACAAATAAAATAGCATGTTTTTTTTAGATCTAATTTACTAAACAACATGTTCATATATTTTCTTGCAAATAAACTTGCGAACAATACCAATATCAAAACAATGTATTTTGTCTGATCCTTTGTCATACAATATCTTGACATACTGCTACAACAGTGAGATGATTTAAGTTATTTTTTGCTAGCAGGCTGGTTCCATGTTTTAAGTTTAGAATTCCATCGGTAGTCTCATACCACATAAGAAAGTTTTCGATATTTAAAGAACTGACAGGTTATTGCAGATTGTTGTATTGTGTCTGTGATAGAAACAAACGGTTTATTTTTATGTAACTATGTGATTCGGTGTCAGGACAAACATCGGAAACGTAAAGATACTGAGTCTGAATTATATGCTTAGAAAATATCAACATTAGTTTTAATTTCATTCATGAAGCAACACATTTATTTACCATTGCATATTGTTTTTGATACTTTTTATAATAAGCATATTGCAAATTTTACATTGTGCTGAATTATTGTGCATCGACTGACATCGTTAATCATCATGCATTTGATTGTATCCTAAGATCGATGCACTGTTTAAGTTACAAGATAGATTTGACTTGTTAACTCTCTTTGTAATAAACAAAATCATCAAGGTCGAAATGTATCTAGGGTATATAGTTTTGAATGCTCAATACACGTGTATTAGGTGGTTAAATAATCCAAGTCACGCAGTTAAATCCACGCATGCATAGAGCAAAAACAAAGAGCTGTGACTATGTGAAATGTAATAAAGATTGAAAGACTTTTAAAATGTTCATGGTGTGGAAAAAAAGGCTACGTAAATTTTACATTGAGGTTCTGCAAAAGGAAATCACGAATTCACCAACATTCCAACTGACTTCATTTTCAGAAAACGATATCTGTAACAAACATAAACTACTAGCTACTTCTTTACAAGCAGAACCAAATACAATGAAAGTCCCAACTATGTACTGGCTTCCGAAGCTACACAAATCACCTTACAAATATAGATTTATTTCGTCTTCAAGTCATTGTTCAACTACTAAATTGTCTATTCTACTTACTAGTACACTTGGTACAATCAAAAACCTGATAATAAATTGTTCAAATAAGGCATTTGAAAATAGTGGAATTACTACTTTTGGAGTGTCAAAAACTCGTTGGAAGTACTTGATAAATTGCATGCTTATATTGGTGATTTTGAATCTGTTCAAAGTTTTGATTTTTCTACACTATATACCACTTTGCCTCATATTCTTATTAAGAAATAAATCACACACCTAATTAAATGGGCATTTAAAAAGTCGGAATGCGAATACATATGTTCAAACTCTTTTAGGTCATTTTTTAGTAGCAACAAACAAAAGAGCTATGTCAATTAGACATGCTTTGATACTATATCTGCCCTTGAATTTTTACTTGATAACATTTTTGTTCGCTTTGGAGATTCCGTATATCGTCAAGTTATCGGAATTCCAATGGGGACTAACTGTGCACCACTTATTGCGGACCTGTGTTTGTATTGTTATGAATTACAATTTATGACTAAAATCAGCAAAGACCCATCGAAATAACATCTGATACAAAAATTTAGCAATACTTTTAGATATTTGGATGATATATTGGCTCTCAATAATGACAACTTCAGTATGTATACTAAAGAAATTTATCCTGTTGAACTTACTTTAAATAAAGCTAATACTAACAATGACCACTGTCCTTTCCTCGATCTTGATATCTATATCATTAACGGGAAGCTTAATACAAAAATTTATGATAAAAGAGATGATTTTGCATTTCCTATCGTTAATTATCCATTTTTAGATGGTGACGTTCCCTTGTAACCTTCTTATGGTGTTTATATATCTCAACTTGTACGATTCGCTCGTGTATGTAACAACGTATTAGATTTTAGCGAGAGAAATTTATATATTACTGAAAAATTATTACACCAGGGTTTTCGATATCATAAACTAGTCAAAACATTTACTAAATTTTTTCATCGGTATAAGGACATCATTCGTAAATATAACTCAACATGCAGACATCTTATACGTTCGGGTATTTCACATCCAATCTTTTATGGTAATATTCTTCACAAAGCACAAAAATGCCAGTATTCACCTCAAAAGCTAACAAAACCTTTAAACAGACTTATTAAGAAGGGATATAGTTACGATACTGTTGTCAGGTCATTAAAGATTGCATATTTTGGCTTTAATATTGATTCACTTATAGGGTCTTTGCATCGGAATTAAACATATTTATTCTAAAACCAGTTGTTGGCATGACACGGGTTGTGTTCTTCTCATTTATTTTATGACGGTATAATACTAAACCCCTAACAGGAGGGATTGTGCCTGATATTCATATGATGAAGACATAATCTTTCAATCAGTGTAATTGAGGTCTGGAGCAAGCATGTCAGTAACTGCTAGTAGTCTGTTGTTATTTATGTATTATTATCATTTTGTTTATTTTCTTTTGTTTCCTATTCTGACATCGGACTCGGACTTCTCTTAAACTGAGTTTTACTGTGCGTACTGTTGTACGTTTGTTTTTTCTACATTGGCTAGAGGTATAGGGGGAGGGTTGAGATCTCAAAAAACATGTTTAACCCCGCCGCATTTTTGCGCCTGTCCCAAGTCAGGAGCCTCTGGCCTTTGTTAGTCTTGTATCATTTTTAATTTTAGTTTCTTGTGTATAATTTGGAGTTTAGTATGACGTCCATTATCACTGAACTAGTATACATATTTGTTTAGTGGCCAGCTGAAGGACGCCTCCGGGTGCGGGAGTTTCTCGCTGCATTGAAGACCCATTGGTGGCCTTCGGCTGTTGTCTGCTCTATGGTCGGGTTGTTGTCTCTTTGACAGATTCCCCATTTCCATTTTCAATTTTACCTCTGCCCTGTTTCTTTATTTATTACTTTGGATTTAGTGATCCATGTATGGCAAAGTGAGCTGCCTTGTTAAAGACTATGCGTTGCCCTCTAGATGTATTCAGTATATTTGTCAGTCTTTTTGTTGGATATATAGTCCGTTACATACGTTGTCGTTGGTTCTCTTGCTGCATATGCCATTGTTTGTTCTTCTGTTTTGTTTCGTCTGATTCTTTTGGACGGGTTTAATTTTATTCTATATTTAAAATAAGTTAGCATGATTTTCAATATATGAACATTCTAAAACAAAGTTTAGTTAAGCAGAATTATGTGAAACCCAGACCATCAACCTGATCAAAAATGAATTGAATAATCATTAAATTATATCAACATCATATTGAACATCGACTATAAGATACTCGGACAAAGAGATTGACCGAATATTGTTTTTGTAATACATGACGTCACATTTGACGTCGACAGGAAATGTTAAAATATCAAACCTTGATGCGTGTATGTGACGTTTGTTTATATAGTACACACGTTACTATCGTCATCAGTTTCATCTTCATGCAATGCAGTTTATTAATTGAAAAATGTGTTTTCTCCGTTGTCACATGAAGTGTAGAATTATTCCAGCAAAAAACACGAATAAATAATGAAAAATTGAACCTCTTCAGCAAAACTAACAAAGCAGAAAATTGGACGTGTGTGAAATAATCAATCGTGATGTATCATTTAATAAACACCAAAGACAGAACAGAACAGTCGACTGGGATTATAAAGACAAAAGTTGGAGGATCACTTAGATTAGAAGAGTCATTTATAATCCAAAAAAGTATGTGATTTCCTTATTTATAATCAAATGTAATCGCAAAAATACCAAAACGTCAGAGTATATTCAAAACGTAAAATCAGGAAAAACCGAAAAAAAAAAGACAATATCATTCTACGTAAAGACAATTGTCATATTCTTGACATGATACAGGGATTTTCTGAGTAAACTGCTGGGGGTAAAACTGATTTATAACTAGCGTAACTTCTTATTTGTATTATAGTTGTATATAGTTTAGTTCCGTTATTTTGACAAAATTGTGTAAGCAACGCACACAGAAATTACTGGTAAAAATGACAGTAACTGGGATAAATTCATCAAAATGATAAAGTAATATATTGTATTGCATTTGATATACTCGTTGTATTCTATGTAAAGGAAATGAAACGCAGTAACAAAGTTGTCTAGTCCAAAAAGAAGCACACTCGGAGGAACTGACTACAATACATTTAGATGACCACTTCTTTTCGATCTAAATAGCTTCCGTTACCATATTACCAGAATATAAAAGTACACTAAATGTACGTAACTGTACGCAAAATTGTGTCTTAGAACGATCAAATGTTAGACTAATGTATGTTAACGTTAGTGTAAAAGTTACTCGATTATACTATATTATCATTTGACTTCATTTATACTAGTAAAAAGAAGAGAACTGTGAGAGTGAAGAAGACATGTATTAAATTTTCGCTGAGTTCGCTTTTTACGAAGGCTTTGGTAATTTGTGCCATCGGTCTGTTTGGCTCCCCGTTGACTATTTGATAGATTTACATACCTGTAGATCTGGGCTAATATGCATAAAACCACTTTTGTTAAGATATCCAATCGTAGTACTAATTAATCGTAGGACATGTAACCCGTCCGTTCGGAACAAGTAGTTTTATGCATATCAACCCTGACAAGGAAGCATATTTGTTTTTAATCATAGGTCTATGTTGTCACAAAAGCAAAAAGCAGATTCAGCATAACATTTCAGATAATTTAATTCAACTATATATAATTATATCGAAACAAGATACACGAAGAGCAACATGGAAAAAACAAAATATCCTAAAATGCAACAGCATCATATACTGACACAAACCAATTTAAGGAATATCCATGATAAAATATACACCAATTAAAACATCGTTTAACAGAATTGCTGTCATATTTAAATGTCGCAATAAACACAGATGCAAGGATAAACGTACCAAATTACGGTCTGTGTCTTATCTAGGGTTTTGAAATTGAATTAGAGTCAGAATAACAAGTCTCGTAATACTTGTGGAATGCAACAACTGCTGAAACATCCACATCATCTTAGCGAAACTATATAACATAAAAGTATAGATTGTATACGTTTATGGCATTTTTTATCTAACAAAGAATCCTTCTTTTTTTGTAATTGTTGACACAGCATACGTGCATTAAGTTGTAAAAGCTGATAAAACTAATTTTGATTGTATATGTGTTTTCTGGCTGGATAACTATATACAATAAACTTGTTTTTTAAGATTAACAGGTACAGATCGAAAGGGTATTGATAGAATGGAAAAGAAAATATGGCTTTTTCTTTCTAGAAAAAGCGAGACAACGCTGCAATGAAGACCAATATTTATAGACAATTTAATGCAAAAAAGACATTGTCAAAATATTTATAATAATAAAAAATTTCAAAAATTAAACTGGCTTAAAAAATAAGACCGTTGCATGTTAAACTCAAACTATGTATGTGATGGAATATTCTGTCTTTAATTCGTTATTACACATGTTGATATTTCACTCATTTCCTTGTAATA